TCTGGTTGACACATCTATAGCAAGAGCGTTATAGAAGAATGTCCTAAAGTAAAACCTATTTCGTGAGCACTGTGCGGCAATGGAGGCAACAGAAACACCAAAGGAAAGCACGGGACTCTTCATCCAGTTGCTCTTTTTCATTCTATCCGCTTTTACATATTCAAAGAACGGAAAATATTCTAATCTTTGCATAACTTCTTGGCAAAATAGCGATGGATTCGTGCAGAATTAACTTTGTTACACTTAAATATATAGTGTTGAGCAAGCATGACTGACACAAAGATTCATTGGTTACACTATTTTAAGACTCGGAAAACCAACAGTTCGCGGATTCTATATTCTCTTGGAATAGATTCTACTTTTAACAAAAGGTGAAAAGTAGACGCTTTGACAGGCAAAACGTCTTGGCACCAAACCATGTTCTTAGTTAATGTAACATTTGAAACATCCCGACGTTTTCATGGTCATAATCCTCCATATAACCAATAATAACTCATAGGTGTTTTGTCAGAGATAACACATTAACAGTTTTCTTATGTCAAGCTCAACAATTCGACTTCTTATTGCTTACTTCAAGCAAAATCTGGAATGATTTTAGACCAAATTTCACAGGCTCATCAAATAAACTATATTTTTTCCTTATATTTTCCTCATTGAATAAATATTTAAGGCCAGAATTGGGGGTCTTGGGACAACAAGAATGTAATTCAGGCATTAAAATCACATTTTTGGGTATTTTGGTGGATGCGTATTTCTTTAGCGATCTCTAAGGATGCCCATCCACCAAAAATAACAAAATATGTAATAATGTCTGAATTATTTCCATTTTTGTCCAGCGACCCCCAATACTAACTTCAAATTCTGGTTCAGTGGAAAAAAATACATAAAAAGATATAGTACAACCTTCACCACACACTTTTTATTTTTTGAGTGGACCTGTGTTGATGATTTTTATCGTTTATAAGCAATTTCTCCTAAAATTTGTCCAGCGACCCCAACTCTGACTACCGATTTATGTTCAGGATGGAAAAATAAATGGAAAAAATATAATATGAAATGGGACACCACTTTTTCATTTTTTGGGCCTGTGAATTGAAACATTGTATCATGCCCACCTCACATAATTGTGTAATACGAAGATAGAGGTATCCCATTTTTTTAAAAGCACATTATGTACTTGTTTCTAATAACACTGTTCGGCATTCTGAAAATTTTTGTCACTCTCCGAATTTTTTTCGGGTTCTTTGCATCTACTGTGTTGTACTGAAATCTAATATGCACTCAGCTTCTCCCCATCACCCTCACGTTTTTAGAGGTAGGAAAATATAAAATATGAAAATTTGAAATGATAAGCGATCTAGTGGTGAAATTTTAAAGATTCAAAAAATAACATCCACATTTTTAGAAAATATTTTTTATATTTTCCAGCTACCACGAAGGCCTAAGGCCTAAACACCCGTGGTGTACCGTGGGTCTATAGGGGAATATAGGGGAAAAGGAAGAGACGCCACACGGACTCTAGCGAGAGAACATGTATGCATGCAGCATGCACACATTCTGGCCCCGCCTACGAGATCCGCCGGGTAGTACTACCGCGTACGACAGTCAGAGACGACCGTCTACCACCTACGTTCTTCGGCGACTTCTTATTGTATGAAAATACAGTCAAACAATATGACATATTGCAACCTAAGGCCTTATAAGATTGGATAAGTTCTTTTCCCGAAAATTTTTATAAGGCCTAGTTTTATGTGCAGAGGCAAATAAGGTTTATGCTGATCTACTAAGGGTTCATTAAGGACATTTTTCTGGCCGGGCACAATGTTCTCACGTATCGGCCAATGTTTAACTTCGCTCATATATCCACATGCAGCTTTTGGCACTTTCGGAACTATGGACGAGAGTGACGTCTCTGGTATATTAAAAAACGACAGATAACCTCATCCTCGTTTGTTTCTTTGGGAGCTGGACGCCCTTTTGAGAGCGGGATTGCTTACTCCAAGTGGTCTTGTGCTTTGCTGGCTTTGTGCAGTACCATCTTAAAGTTGTAATGACGGCTTTGCACAATCTCTGCATGTTACAGGACCATTCAGGCTATTGCAGTAACATACTATATAGGAATGTGATAAAGAAAAAGAGAAATGAAATTTAATTTGAAAGACAGAAAATAAAATATACTGTCACACAATTGTCATTATACTTGGAACGTTGTACAAAAAACAGAAATCTAAACATATTAGTTTTGATTTGGCCAGACTATAGAGTCCTACATAATTTTGAGATCATTTCCATTGAGATGCAGCCTTCACCTTGTTCATGATTAGGATCTTCCTTTTCATTGGACATCCACATTAATTTCCATTCCTTCTGAGCATCGCATCCCACTTCTGACAACAAAGCCTGCACTTTTGTGAAAAATTGGACTGTCCACGGCGGCAAGTGCTGCATTATTCTATAAATGCAGCCTTAAAGCCGGCGCGTCAAAATAAAAAATCGATCTAGAGGCCCTTGGAAGTTAATTACGTCTGATAATTATCAAGGCGACGTTGAAAATGTGGAGGTTGGAGGCGCTTCCCGGTTTCTTTGTTGTCCTATACAGTCGACACCGTTATCAAAAGCGCACAATAGTCTAGGTAGGCATTGTTATTTATCTGATGCCTTCATCTGGTGATAGTCGGAAGAAGAACAGAGTTGCCAAATCAACATAAATTTGGTTAGAAGCTAGAAAATAGGATACCTCAAAAATAAACCATAGTCTAGGCAGGCGTTGTTATTTACTTGAGGCTTACATGTGCTCACACTCGAAGGAAGTACAGTGTCGCCAGATCAATTATAATTCCTTCAGATATTAGGCGATAAACTACCTCAAAAGCATACAGTTGACAGTCTAGCTAGTTATGTTATTCTGTGTTATTTTGTAACCAAACTTCCACCATTAAAGGCCATCTGTGTATTGGTAAGTCGGTATCGTAATATAATAAAAGAATCGTGATAATAACCCTCTTGAACTCCAGGTAAAGGATTTTTAGACATTTCTTCACCTCAACAAAGAATCACGGCTTGAAACTTGAATTATAAGCATTAATCAGTCAGTATCGCCATATAGACCGGGAGCTGTGGGCAAAAATGGGGGGGTCATGTGATACAGCAGGACACCTACTTAGAACGATAGTACTACATGAAAAAATAACTTCTAGCACTATGCCGTCACTTGAGAGCGGTACATGTAAGTACAGGGGAAAATTGAATTTTCTGTCCAGAAGCGGTCGGAAAAGACTAAATGATTTTTTACGGCTTTCTTTAGTATCACAGATGCCAACAAAATAATCACGATGCACTTAGTGCCGTACGGAAATAATGGTGCCGGAAGCCATAAAAAATGTTTAATTTTTAGGAAATTTTCTATGCGGAAAAATTAATTAATTAACGTACGGCATTGTTACAGTTACCTTTCTGTAATTTTTTATATTTAAAATTTTGTTGGCATCTGTGATACTAAAGAAAGCCGTAAAAATAATTTAGACTTTTCCGACCCCTTCTGGACAGAAAATTCAATTTTCCCCTGTACTTACAGTACCGCTCTCAAGTGACGGCATAGTACTAGAAGTTATTTTTTCATGTAGTACTATAGTTCTGAGTAGGTTTCCTGCTGTATCACATGACCCCCTATTTTTGCCCACAGCTCCTGGTCTAATATATTATTATATTGATGTTACATTTTGTTGGAGTTTGTGGTATTAGGCAAGTTGTGCTTCTGGGTTAATGAGTCGATACCACAAAATAGCGACGAAAGCCTCCGGTTACCAAACAGTAATTAGTTCATGGTGCATGGGATCCTGAACTACATGCATAAGAATTGGGTCAGATTTATTGTTCATAATACATAACAAGTTTCAACCATATAGGTGTAGAGATACGATTACACAATCATTCACAGTATAAAATTGCGCATGAAGTGTAAAATTGTACGAAAACAATAGGCTTTGAGCGATACAAATATGGAGGCACAGCAAATACGGGTTTCCATGCTATTTCCAGACCGTGACATAAGCATTTAAAAATTTATTTCGACAGAGTGTTGTTTATTTCACATACTACTATTTTTTGGAACCACGATAGAGGCATGAAGGTTCGTTAAACCGGTGTTGTTTTTGAAACTACAACAAGCAACGAAGCGACTGCTATTATTATATAGAGTGGATGAAATATGTGCATACAAAATGTTTCTCTGAGAAAGTGGCGCCAAGAAGATTGGCTCTATGCTCTCTATGCCTTTGTCCAAGTTTGTAAATTTCAAAGTGAAACTTGCAACACTTACAACCATTACAACCAATATCAGAACCTCCGCCATGTCTGATTTGACGTTCAAAGCTTATTCGTTCCTAGCATAATAGTCACTTTGTGAGAAAATATCATCAAAGTGTACCTTCCGATTTATATCGGGGCGAAAGATTAGGGAACACACAAGAGACAGATCCTAGTCACACTTTTGATCAAATAGCATCCAGGTACCTCGCCGCTACTCGGTACGTATAGCAAATGATTACGAATGCATATTAAGTACGAAGTATATTTACTTGACACCAAAAACGATGGAATTAACTTCATTTTGCGGTTAAAAAATATCACAATGACACAAATCGATGTGATTCATTTCTATCGCTTTGTCATTCTGTATTTATCTCTCGGTGTACTTGTAATCATGAAATTTCACAAACGCCTGCACCGGTTTAATCAAATTTGAGCAGCCGTGTGCAATAAGCTTATTCTACTTTATTGGCGGAGACGTGATGAGTAGAAAACACATCGACATCAAAACGTTTACATTTTTTTGGAAGTTCCTCAGTTTCTGGCACTTTTGGGCATAACCAGGAGGTTTTAAAAACCCATAATTCTATTACGATGCACATCCAGGAAGCGTTTTTTAGAAACTCAGTGTATGGGAATGCGTGCGAGGTACCTGATGACATTCCGTTTTCGTTATTACGCCCGTGAGAATCATGTTCTTATATACGAAAAGATGTAGGGTAAAGTCGGATAAAGCGTACCGCCGGGTAAATCGTACCACCACCGTTTTCAAGAGAATTATTTACTACCCGTGGAATCTCTTGGCAAAATCCAAAAGCATTGAGGATTATATTTTTCCCGCCCAAGCTAATAATTGCCGCTCACTTCACCCTGTCAGTCAGTTTGAGGTTAAATTAAGAGCAGTGTTGTTGATGTTATTTTTTGCTCCGGTTCATAAGCTTTTTTCTTACATTTGGTAAGTAGATACTTTTAAGATGTATTATTCACGTATTTTATGGACGTGTAGTTAGTTGTTGCTGAAATTATCAATTGGAAACACGTTTGTTTAGGTTGAAATTTTATATAAAAAAGCAAAATTGTGCTTGTGTCGTATATCGTACCACCGACAGTTTTGTAAATCGTACCGGTACGATTTACCCAACCGAGACATTTTGCTCCATTTTTCATAAGTTTTTGTTACAGGAATTCAAAAAAGAAGATGAGTAAAGTAAATAATAAGAAAAAAACAAAACGGGAATACTGTGGATGGACCTCAGAAGATATGTACCATGCAATTAATGCATACAAACAAAACCAATGTGGTTTTAATGAATGCTGCAGACGCTATAACATTCCAAAGCCAACTTTTAGAAGGCATTTGCGCTCTTTAAATAAAAAGGCAAATGAAAATGTCAAGTCTTTGGGTCGTCACACAACCTTCAGTCCTGAAACTGAAATGGAATTGACAAAACATATTTTGAAGCTGGAAGAAAGATTTTTTGGTGTAACAATTCGGGATGTTAGACGATTGGCTTTCCAAATAGCTGTTCGGAATGATATTCCACATCGCTTCAACATCAACAAAGAAATGGCGGGAAAAGGATGGTATTATTCTTTTATGAACCGACATCCTGAACTGTCACTAAGGCAACCAGAGAAAATCTCCATGGCTAGAGCAACTGGATTCAACCAAAAAAACGTCCATGAGTTTTTTGATATCTTAGAAAGATGTGTTGATGAAAACTGTTTTACGGCTCAAACAACTTATAATGTTGATGAAAGTGGATTTTCAACTGTTCAAAACCGGTCAAACTGTACCACCCATGATCATTTTCAAGAGAAAACGTATGGCTCCAGAGCTAACCATAGGTGCAATATCTGGCACTATTGTTACAATTTCAGATACTGGATATATAAATAGCGAACTTTTTGTTAAATGGTTAAAGCACTTCATTGAGTACGTAAAACCAAGTACCGAAAAAAAAGTTTTGCTTTTGCTGGATGGCCACACAACGCACTCAAAAAATCTGGAAGCACTCATTTTAGCAAAAATGCATGGAATTGTACTACTGCAACTTCCTGGCCATACTACAAATCGGTTACAGCCATTAGACGTAAGCTTTTTTAAACCTATGGAATCCTATTTTTCTCAAGGTATTGAAACATTTTTGAGAAGCAATTCTGGTAACACTGTTACTCAATATAACATGACTGGATTGCTCTCTGATGCTTATGCAAAAACTGCATCAATAAGCAACATCATGGGTGGTTTTAAAAGAACTGGAATATGGCCGGTTGACCGTACTGTATTTTCTGATGCAGATTTTATCGCTGCTAGCGCCTTGCTTGAAAATGATTCAGAAACAGCAAGGGAGGATTTAGGGGCAATAAATCCACGTGAAACGACTATTGAGCCTGAAGACGAAGCTACTGAGCGACCAGTTAAAAGTAATAGTACTGAACTAAACAACAATTGCAACTCAGCAGATCTGAATACCTCCATTGAAGAAATTTATCCTTTACCTGAGAATAAAGGTAATGCTAAGAAAAGAAAATTGTCTCAACCAGCCGTCATTTTAAGCAGTACGCCCTATAAAGATGACTTGGAGAGCAAGCGTAATCAAAGGCAGAACTCAATTAAAAAAGTAAAGAAAAATCTCGGGCTTTCTTCTACTTCCCTTTTCGAAGCACGTGACGACCAATCTTCCACTTCAAAATCTGATGTAGTAAATGCTCAAATTGAATATGATACTACTGAATGGTACTGCCATATATGTGAAGAGAACATTATTGAGGATATGGTGAAATGTATGAAATGTGAGAAATGGGCCCACACATCATGTGCAGGAACTAAAAAGCAAATAAAAAAATATGTGTGTGAGAACTGTAAATAAAAAGTTAGTGGTACGATTTAAGAACCGACGGTACGATTAAACCAACCTGTTCGCTTAATCGTACCGTTTGCAAGCATTTTTATTTTTGTATTTTTTTTGCTTAAGATGTTGTTTGATTTAGTTAAACTCTTGATTAAGGAGAAAATAAATGTTTATATTTGCTTGTGTGCTAATATGAATGCTAAAGAGTTTAATTTCTGAGTACAGTGGTCAATTATTTAAAAATCGGTACGATTTACCCTACTCTACCCTATGTCTCTACTTATGCCCAGAAAAATATTACACACGATTAAGTACATAAATTAAATTTTTGTCGAAATAAGTAGGCCCATGTCCCATAAAATTTAGAATAAGATATCGTAGCTATAAAACTTCTCAAGTTATCATTTACTATAACATATTTCTACACAGCCCTATTGACTATTCTAATCTCTTGCACAATTCCACTGTTTCGCAGATACTGAAGTGATTCCTGTTCCTAGCTCGCAAATAATACCCTAGGGCTTATGATATAAACAGTTTATTATCCTGCACAAACGGTAGTTGGCCGGATCGGGGCGTAAAAGCAGGTACTGTTTGCCTGCTGCTGCTGCGCCATCGATCTGGTGTAGAAGGATTGGTCGTTCATTATTTCAAGTTGTCAGCACATTATTCGTCATATTTTATTCATTCAAATTTTTACCTATTACCGGAATCAAAAGCTTCCTAGTAATAGAACGTCATTCACTCATACCAAAGATGCAGCACTTATATATATATGTATATATATATATATATATGTATATATATACCTCTCACAATCCGAATCTTCACCCCCACAAAAAAATTTCCGAAAATATGAGGAGTCCCTGAAACGTCAAGGAACTAAGTTTCGGTAATTTGTATTTTTGGCGTTTTCTCCGCCGTCACTGCATCGATTTTCAAAAACTGTACAGCTTTTTTGGTCCTTGGCATATTATCTTGTCATCAGCTTGTGTATTAATTTCATCTAAATCCGATCATTACTTTTCACGTTATAGACGGACCAAGGGTTAGCGGACAAACCGTCAGACTGACATGCAGATCGACGGAAATGAGTGACCTGGTTTTTTATGATTTACATGTCATATAACATCCAAAAAACATCTCATTTTTGGAATTTTTCCCGATTAAAATACTTTTTCGCCAGTGTGGTGTGGGAAGTAAAATGAATTTGAAACATGATAACATCGTGTGCACTTACAAATGTGTAAAACTAAAGCATCTTTCAAACGAACTGAAGTGTTGTAAGATGGTATTAAGTACGAACTTAGAAGGATAAAATCTTAAAATGACTCCAAATTTTATAATTTCCAACTAAATTCCTATGCTTCCAAAAGCAAATGCGTCATAATGTAGAGTATCTCCTCATTTAGTCAAAATGAATGCATATACTTTCTATCTTCCTTACCCAAGTCGCTTGTGTTCCTATCATGCATCACCTGGATATTCTAAGCTCACGACAATTTTTATTCGGATTAGATTCCAACATACAGTGATGGTTGACATTTTACACTTCAGCACTTGACATTTCAGACCGTAATGACAGCCTATGGTTATGAACTCTGAGTATCACAGGATAATCTATACAGGGTGTCCCGAAAAAAGTGTGCAATATTCTATCAGCGGTTTCTAGAGCTTAAAATAGGAAGAAAAGTTTATATAAATATAGGTCGACAAACGTCCTCTAAGGGCGCTACGGTCTTTTAAAGATGGTTTTTCCTTAATATTTCCGAAACGTGTTGAGATAAAGACATAAAATTTGGTATTCTAGCCTAGTTTTTTATGCTGGATTTAAAAATATTAACAATCAGGTTATTTTAGCCCCAAAATCTTTGTATGATTCTATTTTTGAAATTCAATTTTAGAATTTGAAAATTTAGGGTCTTCTACATAAAAAAGGTCTTATTGAATATCGATAAATTATGCCATTTTTGAATAAAATCAAACTAAAAAATTTGTCACATGATAGGAAATGTACTGCGAATATAAATGAATTGTTGAATAATTAGCCATGGCAACGAAAAAACTAATTTAATAATTGGTAAATATTACATAAATACATATTTCTATTGCAACATAGCTAACATTTAGGCAAAAACAAAAGAAATACATTTTTTATACGAACGAAATTGAAGTTTGTTTAAAAAAGAAGACATACCGTTGGATATACTTATACATTATACAGAGTCTCGCTCGACGAACTAATGATTGCGTAGCCCGAAAAGTGGAAAACCTTTTTCTTCTTATTTCATTTGCAGGAAAATTGACATTCAACCAATTTCGAACATTGCGTCCAAAATGTGCAGGGGCGCCATCACGTTATTTTCTTGAAATTGCTGGCGCAAATCCAATGGTATTATATCCATGAGCTCATTCTGAAGAAAGTTCAGATACACCTCTGAAATAAGACGATTGGGAAGTACAATAGGCCCAATTACTTGATCCCCAATTACTCCTGCCCATAAGTTCAATGAAAATCCATGTTGGAAATTTGTACGGCGAACAAATTTTGGATTTTCCATCTGACCAGTAATGCATGTTATGGAAATTAAAAGCACCATTCCTAGTAAATATTGACTCATCCGACCATAATATTCTAGGAATAGCGTTTTCATTTGCTAATATACACTGGCAAAGCTCGATTCGTGGTGAAAATCTGCCTCCGTTAAATGCTGCACCCGTTTAAAATGATAAGGATGTAATCCTTGCATTCTTGACATTCTTCCTATCTGAAATTATTATTTTTAGGATAACTCTCAAATAGGTATTCATAAATTTTTCTTACTATTGATCGAGGTATATCCATATTTTCTGAAACATTTCGTATGCTTATTTGCGGATTATTTTCAAACATATTTAAAGCATTATCCATACGATGATTTCCCAGTGGACTTCGTGAGCCCTGCATGCGCTGAAAACTTCCTTGGTTTGACAAATTCCGAAGAATATCAGTAAACATTCTACGTCCAGGTACTATGCGATTGGGAAATCTTCTTTAATGTTCTCTTACGGCTGCCAATGAACTGCCATTGCAAAACCCGTACACAAAATGCATGTCAATCAGTTCTCTGTCTGTAAATCTTGGCATTTTAAATCGATTTAACAAAAATCTTGATTTTAATCTAGTAATTTTACACTGCTAACAATGTCAGCTTAACGCCAAAATAAGTCAAATCAAAACAACTTTTGTTTGCAGTCATGACTAACTATGTATAATCAACAATTCATTTAAATTCGCAGTACTTCTCCTATCATGTGACAAATTTTTTACTTTGATTTTATTAAAAAATAGCACAATTTATCGATATTTAATAAGAGTACCTTTTTTATGTAGAAAACCCTAAATTTTCTAATTCTAAAATTGAATTTCAAAAATAGAATCGCACAAAAATTTTGGGGCTAAAATAACTTGAGTCCGTTCCTGTTACATACGCTTCCAAACAAAACTGTCTAAAATTGTTAATATTTTTAAATCCAGCTTAAAAAACTAGGCTAGAATACCAAATTTTTTGTCTTTATCTCAACACGTTTCGGAAATATTGAGGAAAAACCATCTTCAGGGGAGCCCCTTTAAAAGACCGTAGCGCCCTTGGGGGACGTTTGTCGACCTATGTTTATATAAACTTTTCTTCCTATTTTAAGCTCTAGAAACTACTGGTAGAATATTGCACACTTTTTTCGGGACACCCTGTATATCAATAGCTTTGGATTCACGAAATCCATCTGAAACATGATAAGCTAAGTTTCTTTACATTTGGGAGCGAGTGTACTGATCAACCTGCGAATAAAGTAGAGCTTCACGTAGAATTTAATTTGAAAAGCTCACGGTTTTATTCTGGTTGTTGTATTCCTGGCACGTCCCTTTCCTAGAGTTACATAGAATAGCATTTACAATGTTGTAAAGACCGAAACAATCCAATAGGAGAAGAACCGATAGATTGAATCTAAAGCTTTCAATTTAGAAATTAAATTAGTTATTGCTGAACGAGAAAGACAGCTTACGCGGCAGAATCAGATTTCTGTTTGTTTTTCACGCATAAGCATTCAAATCAAGAAATAACCTTATGCTCGCTTATCTATTTGGGTACGTTTTTGGAAACGGGAATGCCTACCCTGGGCGGTTCTGGACTTTGCTGTTTGTGCACTGCGCTATTTTTAAAAACGAAATGATAGCTTTGAGTGATCTTCGTATGTAAAAGTGCACATAGAGAATTATGGATAGATAATTCAAAAACCCTGTTAGCTATAAGTAAAAAAATGGAAGCTTGTGATGCCGACTAACTCGTACATCCAGGACTGACCGATACGACTGTTTCCCGAGGGTGTCGAGATTGTGGAACAATCTACAAGAGGAAGCTTTTCTCAGTTCTACCAACCTTAGGCAGTTCAAAAGTCGATTAATAAAATTTCTTTGGGATCCTCACAGCAGTCGCGGTGTCCTGACATTTGGGCTTCTGCCTGCGCGGCTGCTTCGGTATAAAAAAAAATAATACACAAACATTGTTCAATTGAAGATATATATATATAAACGTGAGCAGTAGTCATTGCTATTGCCACCGACCAGTTGGGCAAAATATACAATTAATTGTTAATTGGGAAATTGGCAAACTTTTTAGGCTTTGGTAAACTTTTTTAATGGTAATCTCGAGCTTTCAGCATTCTCTATGGAGCCATATTCTGGAGTCGTCGTTGAGGTTGTAGAAAAATGGTGTTTCAAAACGAACGCGTGGATGAGAGCACTTGTTACAAATATAAAACCAAACGGACGGACACATTGGGTTTATTGATAACGACGGAAACCATCGTTAGGTGTTATCACTATATATCAATACACCCGAACACATTAAAAATTAACGAAACGCAATTTTGGGGACAAAAACCGGAACGTCTCTCCTAACTTCCTTCATCTGCTTCACGTGGAGAAGATCTTCTCTTCTCAATAGTGCAAGACTCATCAAATTATGTGATTCACTCAAGTATCAAAATCATCCATTTGGAATACCCGACAATTTCAAGGACCCGAGCCGTCCATGTTGAGCGCGCAATTTTTACATTTATTTTTCCCTAGACATTCAGTGCGGTAGAAAATAGATCACTAAGGATGTTTACTGAAAAATAGCTAGGAATCTCATTATTTAGAAGCATTGGCTAATATCGCTCCTGAGGGTATACAATCTAAATAATAGCTATGTAATATAGAGTGTGAGGAGTGACCTCCGCCTGGACGAATTGAAAATTTATGTCCTAACTAAAATGGAGTCTTTATTACAATCATGGATTCTACTGAGATCCTACATGGCAACATGACTGTGATGATAGAAATTGTATTTGAACGTCAAAATACAGCAGAGAATTGGGCTCCTTCCTGGAGAATAGGTCAATCAATAGTAAAAGCCTAGCAAGTAGAAACTTTGCTTGCTATATGTGGTGTTCGATACTTTGACGTAACGATACAGGGTTTTTCCAGTTTTTTTCTATATCCGACATGTCCATCCTTATAGAGATTATTTATTTAGTCGTATTGTACGCGATCCTGATTTCCGACTTAGGCACTATGGAGTAGGGTATCAGCCCCACTCTTTGCCAGAATTTCGGCTGTTTCATTTCCCTTCAGACCAGAGTGTCATGGTATCTAAGTACCTAATTTTCATTCCATATATTACCAAGAGCTCCTTTACAATTCCATACTCAATGCTTTGAGCACGGCTTAACTATCTGACGCAGAGTAGCCTAGGCCCCGTTTACCCAGCGATACTTCTATTTCTATTTCCACCGAACCAAACAAAGGCCGTCCATCTTGAGCGCGCAATTTTCCACATTTAATTTTGCCGGGGAACTTAGCGCGGAAGAAAAGAGATAAATACGGTAGACCGGTGATGCTCGTCGTCGACCGAACTTTTTCACCCAGTGCGCTATGCTGGACGATGCTTATTATCTATATGGCTTCGTCCGCCCCTAAAAGCTGCCACAGTAACGATAAAGGCGTGATAAGTGTATCCTCGAGGACTCGTTCTCAGCAACTCACGTAAACAACTAGGAACGAGGAAGTTTCTCGGTGAAAGACCGATTGCTTCTTTCATATATAAAGTTTTATTACGAACATGTGAAGCTGCGGCCAGAATAAAATACAAATCTTTCAATTTTTAATATTAAAGCAGTCACAGCTGTGGTCTTATTAGCCCATAGCCTTAGCAGCCGCCATACGGTACCCGTATTATGTAAAATAATCGTTATAATAGTGGTCTGCTCGCCATGCTTGTCACTTGTGTATTAGCTAGTCACTAGTTCACGATACGCATACTCACTGAGAACGCTACATATGGAGGTGTGGCTTAGACCGCAGAATCTATGAATGACCTCTGCTAGTGCCATCTCTGAAAGTAGATGTTACATCACATGATAGCCACAGCCAGTAGCTCAAGTAACTTGACGTTGAGGCAACACACATTACTACTACAAGTATTTATGAAGTGAATAACAGCTAGTTCCAACGTAAAAATTATGACAATCGTATGCGAGCAAAATCCAAA